GGTTGTCGGTGTCGACATACAAAAAAATGTATGGAGAAAGAACAATGGAGCCGTAACTACCCACACGACTGGCATGAAATATTTGTAGCAGGTTTTGTCGCGCGGAGGAAATATTGTCGATTTGATCGATTTGATGTACTCCGCGTGTTTTTTTTAAACGGCATGTATTATGTAGCTGCATCTATGGTACCCGCGATCGCGCGCCGGGGCCTTTTTTTTTTTTTTCTTTTTTTGTCTCTTTTTTTGTCTTTTTTTTTACTTTTTTTGTCTTTTTTTACTGGGCGTGGCTCGCCGCCTGGCCTGCGTCATCAAGACTTGGTGGTCGGGTCGAGTGTGTGTGTGTGTGTGCCGCGCTGCACACAGCTCTCACAGGTGGCGAAGGGGTGTGTGCGGGCCTTCGGAAGCCTCATGGCATGGATTGCTGCCCCAGCAGCAGGGCTAGCTCCCTTGAGGCAGTGAGAAGAGGTTTTGTGTGTTGCCCACTGATCGAAATGGACTGTTGGGGATAATAGGCACGCTTTGTGGTGTTGAAGGTGAAAACTACTTCGTAGCATATTGTCGTTGGGGCGTCGGGGGTTGAGGCGGATGAAGCAAGTGCCACGTACTAAACAGGCGAGCCGCGCGTAGGCGGGGAGAACGAGTGAACATCCTTCGCTGCTGTTGGTTTTGCGGTTACTCACTGGCGCGAGTGGCTGAGGGTAGTCCGAAAAGCTCAGCGATCCCTCTTGCGGTATCTACGTTTCCGCCTCTTCGCATTGGTGCCCCCCCCGCCTCCAATGTTCGGGCACATAAGGTGCGGTAGATCGAGTGTGAGAGAGAAGAGGGGCTGCTCCTCCCCTGTGGCACTGGGCGTGATCGCGCTCGAACCGTGTCTCGGGGCTGATTTCGGTCATTGGATGTTGTGCGTAGAGGGGGAGTCGAAAATCTAGAGGCATACTTGTGGGCACATTCGTGTTCATCGACGCGGGAGGGGAGAGGAAGGAGGATGGTGCACGTGTGTACTGGGAAGTCTGTTTCTGTTTTGGCTTCTTCATGTCGTTTGTGTTTGCGTCGGGATTTAATGTACGTGCATGTAACGGGTGCGTGCTCTGAAGGGCGCATCGTCCGTGGTCGGTCCTGGTGTTAAGGTGGGGGAGGACGGGTAGCGAGGATGTTATTCTGGCTAGATATCACGAGCGGAAGAAATTTACCACTCATGCGTGGCGGCAGGTGGTAGGCCCGCTCTCTCGTTGGCCACCCGAAAACACCCTTTCTTGGATTTCGAAGAACGAATCTTGGAAAGTAATGATCCCCCCTTGGGGGGGCGCCTACTGGGCCTCCTCATCTCGCTCTCATTTGTTTTCTGTAATCTGAACGTGCTGGTGCTGCTGCAATGTTCTTTTGTTACAGGTTTTTCGTTGTTTTTTTCCGGGGGAGACAGAGTCGGTCGTTGCCATGTAGGTTGCCTGGACTGTTAAGGGTTTCCAGAGAGGCTCGTGCTTGTTTTATCGAGGTGATTGTACTACGGGTGGCGAAAGAGAAAGAAGGCACAGCAATAACGGCGTTGGTTGGTGCACTATTTTAGGGACCCCCTTGCTTCTGCGAAGGGTCGAAAAATCCGGATGCATATGAGTAGTTTCCGACCAGTTCGGTTGTGCGGCGGAGGGTGTGTGTGCCTCTCTCTCTCTGGTTGGAGATATTTTCCCGCTGCTCGTCCTGGCGTCCGCTTGTTGATCGTTATGTGTCCGTTGTCTCCGTAGTTTGTGAACGGCGCCCCTTGTCATGTAGTTAGCTGGAGTGCCCTTGCCACGTAGGTCTTGTCAGGCTGCGCCGTTGTTTCTTGGCGTTTGAGCTTCAGGTGATGTACGTCGTTTTTGCTTTCATTCTTTCTGCAGGCGGCTGAGGCTCTTTATGGTTCATGATGCCAACATCATATTTGTCGGTCCTAGCAAGCGTCGTGTACAATATTAGGTGCCAGTTCAGTATCTGGGAAATTCCTGTATCCTATTAATTGTGTGTTTCATGCTGTTGGTTGAGAGATGGAGATAACGTTTTCTGAGATCGGAATAGTGACAGCAGTTCGAGTATCTGCTCTACTACTGTAGAACTCGTTTCTTCCTGGGTCCCGCTCTACTCTACGCCCCTAGGTTGATCTCCACTCCGCAGCAAGGAGGCTGAAACGAAGAGCCATCAAAAAGCCGTCCGTCTACTGCAAGAACAACCACACATGCGAGAATACTGCTGCTGTACAGCAGCCAACGCAACAGTATCCGTGCAGACTATATCTTCGTAGACCACCCGCGCGTTCCCTGCCCCGGTGCCCTCCGACGGCGCTCCCACCCTGTGTCTATGCTCCAGCATACATGCGTACCAACGCGACTCGCACCCTGCCGTCGGTCCCACGCAATTAATTGCGTGTTTCATGCGACCTACCGACTCTTTTACCTACGCATTGGAAGGATGAGGACGCGTTTCCTAAGGCGCGTTTGGTCTTCGGCACTCTTCCCTCTCGACGGGCCAGTGCGTTGTGCTTCGGGCTTCCGTCGACCTCCTGGCTGGTGGTTCTGCGGCTAGTTCCCCATGGTTCGGCCGTACCAGCATTCTTATTTTGCGGTGGGGCCACTACCACCCCCGCCGCCTCCACCACCGCCGCCGGCCTTTTCGCCATCATCGGTGGTCCTTCTTGCATCGTGGAGGAGGGAGCCCACCTCCGCATGGCGGTTTGTCTGCGCCCACTGCAGAGGCGTTTTGCCCTTGTTGTCCTTGATGGTGATGTCCGCCCCTGTCGTGTCACATCGTTGTTGGTGATGTGTGTTGTTGTTGTTGTTGTTGTTGTTGTTGTTGTTGTTGTTGTTGTTGTTGTTGTTGTTATGTTTACGCTGAAAATCGCCATGATGTTGATCACACACCCTTGTGCCCTATTTCTCCCCAGTAAACAAATCTGTGATGCATTGTTTACTCCCACACGTCACTACCTGAAAGTTAAACGATCGGTGGCATACTCGGGTGAAAGGTATGATCGAGAGCGTGATCGTGCGAAGGTACAGTCTACGGCTGTGGGCATGCGCTGACACCACAGAGTTGGCTACATATATATGCCCTCGGACAATCAGGCCCCCGCATCGCTCCGACCGCAGACAGACCCCAACAAATCTTGGAGGAAACCCACAGGGAAACAACCGGCAGACCACAAACACGAGGGGATCCACGTTTATGGCTTGGGGGCGAGTCAGGCAACAGCGAACACAGGAATACCAGCGACGATGACAGCATTTGGAAGACTTCGTGCCAGAAAAACTTCCTGAAGTGTGGCGCTACTTAATAACTACTTGTATCGCAAGAGTGTCCAGCGACCAGCGACGTGCCGAACAACTCACCGTTCTCGAAGAGAAAGGTGGCCATCTCCTTGTCTCCACTCTGCCCGACAACGTGGAGCGGAGTCATGCCATCCTCGTCCTATCGCGCACCAAACCAATGCCCCCCCCCCCCAAAGAAGAGTACATCAAGTCGCACCGGCGGGCGTGGAGAGATGTGGTGGGGGGAGTGGAAGAGGTTAGGTGAGCGTCGGTCCGTGAAGTAGAACATGCTGCAATGCAACATGATGTGCGTACGACAAATACGGAGATGACTGGTGTCTTTTTCGTGCGTGATGTGGTGAAAACACCATGCATGTCTCAGTATATACACGCACATACGCAGTTGTGTCTCGATCCGCATGCCATCATTGCTAAATAAAATGGTCGACGTATCGAGAACATAGCGAAGGTCGGGGTTCATGCTGCACGTACGTCAACCGTGCTGGGTAAGGAGGCGGAACAGTGCCGCCTTGGGTTGTCTATATGGTTGCGTGAAACCGAAACTCTTAAAGCTGATCACCTACATGGCACGCGCAAGCAAAGGTCATTCAATCAACCACAGCCTTTTTATAAGCAGAACCTACTCTGGAACAGTTTGGTCACCTTGGAATCGAGGTTGACGCCGGCCTGGACTAGCTTCAGCGCCAGCGCCTTCTTGTCTGCAGGCGGCATGGCGGTGGAGTACGCCAGAAAGTGCAGCAAGGATGAGCCCTTGTTGTTCATCCACTGCGCCTCCGCGCCACTCTCTAGCAGCAGCTCGACGACCTTTGTGCACGTGTCGCCATCGTCGTAGTTGTATGTAGTGTAGGTGTTGTTACAACTTTGGTCTATTTTCTTGTCGAATACAAAAAAAAAGCGACCTCGGATCGAATGCAACATAACCCTGAGGTGGCACCCCGGCTGGGATAGCAGCAGCCACAAAGCAATAGGCGGCGGTTCGTGCGAAAATGACGGCGATCAGAGGATCCATATCGCAAGCCCGCCTGCGCCTCATAAAAAGAGACCAGACACAACGTCCAGAGCCGTACAACGCGGGCGGCAGTGATCTCTTTCAAAATTAGGAAAGTTCTGATCGCTCTCACCGCACGGTGTCCGCCCATCAGTGCCGCGTGAATGGGGGCGTTCCCGTAGCTGTTACCCGCGTTGACGGCTGCGGACGAAGCGAGGAGAACCTTGACCGTCTCCATGTGCCCATTCCCACAGGCAAGATGCAGAGCCGAGTTGCTGTTTGTCAGGAGACGTTCGTCGATGACTGATCTGATGTTCGTGTGACGAAAGGCGGGCGGGTGGGGGCATGGAGGGCACATGATGAGATGCCGTTTACAGTGATCCCTTTGTTTAGCACCAATGTCTACACGGCGGTGAAGTGGGCAATCACAGCTTGCAGATTTCAATTTTACGACAAGCGCGTGTGTGTAGATACTCCGGAGCGTTTCTAAAGCTTCCCCAACAAACCTCAAGTCGTGCGTACATTTTGTATGAGAATCCTCACCCGTTTTTCAGCAGCTGCTCTACGCATCCCACGTGCCCACCGCTCGCCGCCCTGTGGAGTGCCGTGGCCCCGTCTTCTGACTTGTTGTACCTTCGCGGACGGCAGCGTTAACGAGAGCAAGGGTAGTGGTACGTGACACACGCACTACTACATCAATAGACTATACTGGAAAGCTATGTGTTGTTAGTGTATGGCCCGAAAGAGCAAGGGAGATACTCTTCTTGGGCAGAGAGTCGTTCGTGCCGTATGTTCGGAATAATGTACATCTCGCGGACTCGCGCGCGCACACGGTTCACGCGGGGTGTCTCTGCAGGGTAAGCAATATGACTGCGGTCGAAACCAAAAGCTCATCATGTCGTTGCCCCACATTTATCCGATGACAGAACTACATAAGGGATGTTCTGGACGAGCTGTACTCCGTCGAACCAACACAGCAAAAAGTACGCTGGACACGATCCGAAACGTTTCTCGATACTTCGGGATATGACGTGCAAATAAAGGTGTTCCAGCTAGCCACAGCAACAAGCCGTTGTTGATACCTTGTTCATTCGTACAACAACAAATCTTTTGGCTCAGACGAACGTGATGATACCTCTACAAGTCAAGACAGGCTACAACGTTTTGAACACCAGAGGGCTACGTGTCTTGAGTTCAACATCAACCGACCTTGATCGAAGTTTCAATGGGATCATACATGCCGCGTGTACGTGTAGCTGTAGAGAACGCCCTGGCAACACTCACCAGTTGGAATTAGCTCCAGCAGCCAGCGCAACCTTCAGCTCGCTAAGATTTCCCCTACGTATACGTCATGGGGGGATAGACATCAGATGGGGACGTACAGAAGGCGCCACCACTTACTGGCGCGTACTGTAGGCAAAGCATACAAACAACGAGATATAATGCCTTGCTTGGTGATCTAGTCAAATCCGAGGTTCAGCTACTCATGCAACTCAAAACACCTCTGTTGTAGAGAAAACTTGTGTGTGGTGGCGCCGTAACATGTAGAGCGCAAGATCGGGAGGGGGTTCCCTCTCGAACGGATCGGGTTCCTGGCCTGCATGCAGCATGACAACTATACAGTAGACTACAGCATGTACGTTTCTGTAGGCTCGGAATGAATGCGCTGCAGCGAAACGGCAACTATTTCACACTCAATGGCTGTAGAGGTCATCAATACCAGAGCTGTTTGATAGAAAACTAGGAGTTGACTGTTGACTGCGTTCTCACGATGTGGCAGCGCCGTACAGATCTCGGTTCTTCTTCGTCGGAAGCTGGTTTTCGGCCAGTTTATGCTCCGGGATTTGGGAGGGATCCAAAGCCTGTGCGACGTAAGCGTGCTCGCGCTGAAACGCAGCCATCGGTGGAACAGGATGTCGCAGAACTATACCTTGACTCTTAGAATATGCGTGTGTGGGCTCCGGGCTACCCCGCACTGCTCTAACCGCCGGGTATGGTATGCGATTTCACGTCGTACGCATATGGATATGCCGGCTAACGACGAACGAAGCGGTATCGGTTGCACCGCATTTTGCCATTGTGCTGAAATTAATTGTGCTGACGTTCAGGCGTTCTGACACTGCGAACACGCAGTGGACGCTTTTGCCATTGTCCAGAGTCATTGACAGATTCCACTACCCGCAGGTGTCCCTCAACCCTCATTGCAAAGACTTCAATCCATCCCTTCGAACGGGGTATTGTCTCAAGCGGGTAGCCTTTCATATTTCCCTCCCTGCGTACAACAGTACCGTAGAGAGTACCTCACTTGCTGTTATCTACTCGGTCGGGTGGGAAAGGGCAGAATGCCGCCCACCAGACGTACGTTGTTGTTCTTCACATTAAAAACCGTTCCGGTCTCCGCTCAGTGCCTTCTAATGTCCGTACTGGTCCAACTGACGTGGACGCCTTCTGTGGTCACAAGCCAACTGCCCCCACAAAAGGTGTGTTTTTTTTTGTTTTTTTTTCTTAATATGACACAACGAATCCATCTCTATCATAGAAAAGAGTCAGAGACAGATTAGCAATGAATTCACAGCGTCAGAAAAAGCTACCTGTATGTCTACGATTTCCCAGACAGTTTTTCAATTTTTCTTAGCAATAAATGTCGATGTTCGTTCGTAGTGCACAGGAAGGACAGCAGGATATCATGATGTTCCTAAATGTTATATACATACGTCAACAAAGTGTTGTGTACCAGCCGTAGTTGGTGGCAACACAACTTCCCTGCTTCAATTCGGCGGAGATGCTGGGCTATCTCGACGCACCGACCACGAATTGAAAAAGTAGCAGTTGGGACAGCTCGGGCAAAATGTTGTTTGGTGTGCGCAAGTCCTAGTTTTTTTTTGCAAAACACAAAGCACCCCTCCCTACCGGGCCGCTCTGCAAAAAAAAATATCATCAAATTCATATCACCGCCGGAAAACGCGATTGATCATCTGTTGTCAAGAATATCGAGATATAAACGAACTCAACCGAAAATAAAATAAAAAATGAAGGCATTGCAAAATCAACATTCGAAGTATGTATCAACGAAAGCACATCACAAAGTCAGTCTCGGTCTAACTCTCTCGGGAAGGAAATAAATGTGATGTCTTCCACTATTCGCACTCTGCTTTAAACATGAAGAAACTGGGAGCTAAGCTCACCCATCTCTTGACTTGACGAATACCCGACGAGGTAGAAATAAGGAGATAGCGCGGGTACGTCAAAAAATTCCACAGCCTCACAGCACCTCTTCTTCTACTGTAGAGAGAAAATCCCACCGCATCCTCGACTAGAAAAACAACCTCGGCGAATGTTTGAGACATGTCTTTTGACGTGCGAATTCGCTGTTCGGTCGAGATCGTATGCTCCAGACGCGCCCTCTGGTGACACCGTATAGGGTAACAATTTTTTATCTTTTCTTTCTACTCATGACCCTCCTCCTTCTCGTCGAGAAGGGCGAAGTGGACGCCCAGAGCGCTGGATACGCGGTAGTCCTCAACGGTGCCACGGAAAGCGTCGGACCCTTCCATAACCGCTTCTCCGTTCTCGCCGTATACCGGGCGGGCCGTTTCACCGAGGAGGCCGGACAACGCCGGGTTGTCCACGTCCAGCCCGTCGATCCCGACGTCCATCTGCCAGAACTCGAGGTCAGGAAGGACGCGTCCATCCCAGTTTAGTTCACCGTCGCCCTGGTAGTTGACGCCAGCGTTGAGACGCACCGTGACAGTGGGCGTCTGGATTTTGAAGATGGCATGGTTGGCTTGCAGGTCGGCGAGGTCGTTCTCGGCGATGTACTTGGCGCACCACCTGCGTGCCGGCATGTTCTGGTCGTACCTCAGGATCCATTCTTCGAGGCTTTCACCACCGCGCAATTGGCGCCTGTCCTCGAGGATGTCCTGGTACATGCGGGCCCATATCCTGTGACCGCCGAACTGCCGGCACTCCACCGGAAGGTTGGATGCAGACATAGTCATGGTACCGTCTGCCACCGGCATCTGCCTGGAGAATCGAAGAAGCTCATCCACCTCCTGACCGTCGACGATGATACGCAGTCCTCCGTTCGCAAGGCAGGGCGAGACGCCCTCAGGACAGCCGCCCGTGACGATGGTGTAAGGGTTTTCGACCTCGATGACGACAGAGTACCCCTCCGACATGATAGCCAGGCTGGTCATGAGCTGGCGGTCGGGGAACTCGTCCGGCAGTGGAGCGGTAACGCGAACGTTGATGCTGAGATCAGCATGGTCGTCCTTGACCAGGGAGTACCAGCCGCCGTCAACCCCAGACCAGTTGATTCTCTGACCACGGAGGCCTCTCATGTGGGGGTCGCCCCACATATCGTCAGCATTATCATCGTCATCTACGTACATAGGTCGAGGGGATATTTGAAAGCGGAGGAGGCGCAGTTGTAGCGCAAGCGGGAGTGAGTGATGAATTGAAGTACGAGCTTGCGATACCAACGAAATGCAGCAAAACGCTTCTCTGCAAAGGGTCAGGAACACATCGGATTAGTCGAACAAACACACGCCTACTTGCAATTGGATGAGAACAGAAAATAGTTCGAAGATCGTGTAAGTTATTATCAAGAAAATACCAAACAGCGAAACATTACCAATCAACTGGCTTTCCGCGGGTCTTATCGCCGATGCCCTACCGAAGCGGGCAGGAATGTTTTATCAACACAATCGCACCCAGCACCCCCCATACGTTTTTCGTACGGGAGCGAGGAAAGTCGGCTCCAGCACCCTCCGGTCCCTATCAGCAGCTCGTGCTTCAATGTTGTTCACAAACAAGCGACGGTTGGTGCCTCCACCTGTATGGTCGATTTCCACTGCCTAGCACGTAGGTTTAAGGCTAACCCTAGCACTCCGACAACAGGCAATACTACAACACATGGTTGCAGTGGAACGTCTCCAAAATTAATTTCAACAGCCCACCCGTCGACGAACGTGCTCTTGCCGACTCTGGCGGCACTTTAATGCTGTCATCAGCGGCTGCTTGCTGTGGAAGCTATGCCCTCTCCGTCAGGCTATCATTCAATCTGTGTGCCCGACATGTGTTGTTTCCCCTCGAAAGCTCTAGGCTAAAAAAACAGGAACAATGTGTGTGTTTGCTCAAAAGATACTGGATTTTTGAGGGTTTTCCCTGACCAAACACACATACCACGATATCTGAACGTCTATTCAGACTACAGCAACACCGTTTGCCGGCCAGTTTCATGAAACCTACGTCGTCAGGAGAAATCTAAGCCATTTTCGGGGCAAAAACCAACTACCGAACTCTGGACAATTTACTACGTGTACCAACACACAGAGAGGCTACGGAGGTATTCTCACCGCAAGTGTTGCCATCATCCTGGAGGCGTCGGGCGAGGTTCGGAGGAAGGGGAACTTGGCAGACCCCGTCTATACAATATCCCATCCCCCTGGATGTGCAGCAATCAGTGAAGTCCGGGCGATCAAGGCAAATACCTGGTATCTCGACGGGGCCCAGAGTTATCTCTCCAAAGCTGGACGACATAAAAACACGAGGTTTAGGACGAGTCGTTAGTGGAAGGGAGCCAGAAAGCGGCATCACGCGAAGTGGCGGGGGCCAAGAGGGCCAACATCATAGCGTTGCATAACCCCCCCCGCAAACGGGAGGATGAACCATGCTATTCTTGTTTTTCTCTCAACAAAGGACTTGTGCCGACATCTCCAAGAGGGGATACAGCCCACGTAGACGAACAGTATTTGTAGCCATATGGAGCAAACATAACGGCGGCAGTCCCGCAGGCACTCGTCGGGCAAGTCTCACGGGTTAAGTGCGTTTAAGCGTAGGAGTATGATAACTCGAACGCCCCGAGGGCGTAGACCGATATGATTGAGGACTCCGGCAGGTCAATACGCCTCACCAATCCAGTCCACGGGTTTATCCCCAAAGATCCATGCGCTCCCAGCTACACGGATCCTATTCGGGTTTGAACAACACTCTCTACCTCAACGTGCGCGGTGAGTTTCGGCCTTTTCTGTGCCTTACTGAGCTGGCTGATGCTAACGAAGTCATTGCCAAGGTTGCTTACTTGAATGGTCGCATGTCGCCTCTGCATGACATTTAGTGAATCGAAGGACTACGTAAAGGATACACAGGTGAGTCAGCATGAGACGCCATCTACGCAGAGGGAGTGTGGTACCCACCCTTGTCCCCACCCTTGTTCCACTATCCATGTTTGTTTGAGTTTGGTCCGGAGAAGAAGCAAAGTGGGCGCTAAATATTGATGATACAGACATCGGATTCGAGCCATGTTGTCGATTTGCGCAAACAACCCACCATGTACTCATTGTTCATGTTGTTTGCGCAAACGTGGAAGGTTGTGTTGTACAACCTGGTGTTTTGTCAGAACGGTTAGAAAGATCAAAGGGGGCACCGTAGGTAAGAGAGAATTGATAGATAGGTAGGCATGTGCAACGGAAAGAAAGAAAAAGAAAGAGATGCACCTTGCTCACAACAGAAGAAACATCTGAACGAAAGAGCAAGACAACAAACAAACAAGAGTAGGAGTAGAAGAGAGACAGAGGAGGAAGAAGAAGGAAGCGAGTGTACGGAAGGGAGGAGACAGACAGAGAAAGAGAGCAAGAGCATCGTCGGTTCGTTTTTTTTTGTTTTTTTTTTCAACGTCGGCCGACCCGGCGCTGGAGCGCGGGGGTCGGGATCCTGCTGCCGAGCGCGGGGTCCCATGCCGAATACGGTAAGGCTTGGGACGTTGACACCTATGCGGCGCCGCGACGACGAGGAGGAAGAGCAAGGCGGATGGCGGGGCCAAGAAAGGGGAGAGGATGGGGGCTCGCCGCAGAGGGGCGGAGGTGAGAGGAGGAGGTCGTTGAGCCAGGGTGAGCGACGGGTGACCAGCGTAGAAGGCATGGGGACTTTGAGGGTTGAGTCACGCCTATCGCCGTCCGTGTATACAGGGGGGAGAGCGCGCCACTCAAGACCTAGGCAGACGCGCTCCAATTCACCAATGGTAGTTAGGCGCGACCAGTCTACTGACGTCAGTCGCCGGGGTCCGTCACGTACGCAGAATGTCCCGTCCTCACAAGGCCACCGCAACGATTCCCGCGCGCACGACGGGAGTTCGTATGGTAGGGGGGCGGGGGGGAGAGGGGGGGATGGACACGTGGGGGGCGCCGGGATCGGCGCGGACGGACCAGCGCACTATGGGCCGCAAGGGGAAGAGATGGGAGCAGCGGGAGGAGGGCGCAGTAGGCCAGGTGGGGAGGTCGGGCAGCCGCAGCACTATCATCAACCAGAACAGCAGCACCAGCACCAGCAGCAGCAACAGCAACAGCAGCAGCACCAGCAGCAGTGGCAGCAACAACAGCAGATGCCACAGCACCAGCAACAGCACCAGCAGAGACCGCAATACCAGGGACAACAGCAGCAGCCGCAGCAGCAGCAACTGGAGACGCCGCCGCCGCCCCCGCCACGGCGGCAGGCGCAAGGGGCCATGAATCAGGAAGGCGTCGGCGGTGCGGTGGATGCGCCGGCGGCC